TTGGGCAGGGGGTTGGACTAGATGACCTACAAGGTCCCCTTCCAACTGTTGTTCATCTGTATCTGTATAACTTTGAAGGGTCCCTAAACGGATGGTTGTAAGTCGAGGACTACCTGAACTGAAAAGCCGGCCAAGATTTCAGAAGCCCCCTTCCTCCTCCAAAGAAGGAACCCCCGGCACCCCTCCACGGGATTGACACCCCGCCCCACAGCCCCCACCCACCCCGGGCCAGGGGCGGCGGCTCCAGGGGGCGCGACGCCCGGGTCTCTGTGGGCTCGGGATCCAGCTCTTCGGGCGGGGGCGAGGCGGTTCAAGCCCCTTGGGCGGGCCTGACGAGGGGGGCCTAGCGCGGAGCCTGGGCGGCGGCGCTCTTCTCCCCGGGACTGCGGGGAGAGCCGGGGGGAGAGAGAGGGAGCCGGGGGGGGGAGTCTCGCGCTCGCCCCTCCGCGCTTCCTTCCCCGGGGCAGCCGGGCGTCCAAGGGGCTGGCGCAGACCCCCCGCACCCGGGAGCCGAAGGGAGCGAAGGCGCCGGGCGAGCGGAGGAGAGGCGGAAGCGGAGGCGGCTGAGGGGAGGAAGGGCGGGGGGCGGCCCCCGGCGCAGCGGCCGGCCGGCTCCCCTTACCAGGTCGTAGTCCTCCTCATCGTCGCACATGAAATCATCCTCCATGTCAGACATCTTGGCCGGAGGACGCGAGGGGAGGGGGAGGGAGGAGGAGGAGGAGGGGCGGGGCGCGGAGGTCGGACCAACAGCCGAACGGACGGCCCCCTTCTCCCACAATGCCCCGCGCCTTGGGCAACACCCCCCCCCTCCCCCGTCCTTCGACGCGACGGCGCGGAAAGGGGTTCTCACGCAAAAGCGTCCCTCGCGTCGCGCCGCGCCTCGGCCGTTCCGGCCGCGCGCACCCGGAGCCTCATTCGGGGTGCACCAGGCCTGGGTTGTTGTCGTTTTTTGGCAACCAGGCTGCCTAGCAACGGCTCGGCTTGCCAAAAGCACAGCTCGGGTGATTGGAATGAGGCTTCGGGCCGCCCGATGCACCGGGATCTTAAGCGGAGAGATCCCGGGTGCAAAACTTTTGCCTTGGTGTTGTTAAGAGAGGGCTGCAGAGGGGAGCGTTGTGCTCTCCCTTGGGCGGCTCTCTGCTGCTTTTTAGCGAACCCCCGAAGGGCAGAATCAGACTCTGACTTGGTCAAGTTTGGAAAGGAATATTTGTAGTTTGGGGTTGAAATGAGGAGTTCTTGGTGTTCTCCGATCTTTGGTGTTTGCAGACGTTTTATGACCGAACTAGGTAACATTATCAGTGCACCTGACATCGTTGGTCAACTGTCACTAAATCGTCAGCTGATACAGGAAGAGGAGAAAGGGGCTTTTTACAAGAGCTGCCACCTCACAGCAGGGCCCCTCAAATGCAACAACTGTAACCCTAAAAGACCAACACTTCTCAACCTGGACAACTCAAAGATGTGTGCATTTCCACTCCCAGAATCCCCCATCCAAGTTATTGCAAGTCTCTCTGCTTCAATGGCTACAGCACAGACCAGCAGAAGCCCAAGAGATGAGTTTTCCTGTTTTGCAATTTGCCTGGCTTGGCATCAGTTTGGCCAGAGGTTATAAACAGTGTATAGAACTTGCACAACGTATAAAAGCAGCCAGTTGTGTGTCTTTCATACACCGCCAAGCTATAATTTAGCATAAATTATACACACACCTGACATATAGATATAAGTATAATACAATAATGAATCCCTGTGAATGAATCTCCATGAAACCCCAAAAACTTTAACCTTAGACTGTCTACTATTGACCTCACCCCTTTCCTAAGAGGTCTGTAGGGGGCATGCATAAGCGCACCAACGTGCCTACCGTCCCTGTCCTATTGTTTCTCTTATTCTTTTATTTTTCTTATATGTACCCATTTCAAGTATTCACAACTATGTATACACTTATACTTATTATCTTGTAAACAATTGGCAAATCAAATAATAAATAAATAAATAAATAAATAAATAAATAATTTAGATAGGTGTTTTTCAAACCTGGCACCTTTGAGATGTGTGGACTTCCAACTCCCTGAATTTCACAGCCACTGTGCCAAGTTTTCAAAACACTGGACTAGGTAGGTGTTACCTCCAAGGTAACTTCCCAACTTTAGCAAAAGCCTGAAACTCTACCATTTTTTTTTCTGATGAACACCTTTGATTAAAAAGCATCCTTTCTTGAGTTACACGCACCTGCCCTTCAACAGATGCTGTAATCCTCCACTTTTCATTAGTTAAGTTTACGCGTTTAATAAAACGTGTAAGTTGAAAAAGCGGCTGCAAGACCCAATCTCTCCAATTTTCTCAATCGGTGATGGGGAGGAAGGGAGAGAGGGAGGGGCATTTTTTATTTCCGAAAGTGGATGTTTCCACATTAAGGGGCGTGCATAAGTGCACCATCGTGTCTCCCGTCCCTGTCCTATTGTCCCCATTTAATCGTACCTATTTTCTGTATTCTTACTCATGTTTATACTTATACCTATTGTTTTGTAAGCAATTGACAAATCAAATAAATAAAATAAACATTGCAGAAGTCTTCGCGGGAATAGGCTAACTCTCCCTGGTGGAGAGACGGGGTCCTTCGCTTCTTCCTGCATCTTTCGTTGTGATTTTTTTTCAGTTCCGCATCTGCAGCCGGAGGTGGGGCACGGTCGTTCGCCGGAGCTTCGTCCTCTTTGCCATCAAGAGCGCCTCTGGGCGGGGAATACGGGGAGGAAACAGCTGCAACGAGCCGAGCTGGAAGCGGACGTGGCCACTTGCAAAAGGAACACACACACACACACACACACACACACCGCAGCAACGTTGATAATCGTGGGGGAAGCACGGGATGGCTGCCGACGCGCCCCCCATCCTTTCGCTCCAGCTGGTGGAAGAACCGAGGTGCGTGGTCGGACTCTCGCTCCCCTTCCGCGTCTGAGCTCCAGCGGTCAGGGCAGGGGGCTAAGAGGACCTTCTTCCTTGAAGCGCTTTGCAACGAGTCCTGCTCGTGGTTTTTCCAGTGCCCCAGGTTACTTACTCCGAGGTCGAGGTGCATGAGATTGGAGGAGTTGTAATCTCCCAGAAGATTACAGGAGCAGTTCCGGGTGGTTTGCTCAGTTTGCTTCCTATGAGTTTTTCAAGAAAATAGGCGTTCATTCATTCAATTTCTATAGCTGCCCGTCTCAGTCCATGATTCTGGATATCTTACAATTTAAAAAAATACCGGTACACTCAAAATGCTAAAAAGCATTTCAAAACACAAAAACAAAAGAAACATCCATAATAAATATGCTTGGCTGAGATGCTTGGCCAGTTGGCAACAGGGTCCTTAATACATTCAGCACCCCAGTCTCTGATATATTTCTGCCCATTCCACCCCAAGTTTGATCTTGCAACTGTGTAAGAGAGAGCTCCGTGGGTAGCAATGCATTGCTAGGATAATTTTGCCCTGCCTGATATCCGATGGGTTGGATTATATCTCTCATAAACCACTGAGATGTCCACTGATGCCAGATTGGGGAAGATTGAGTTAAGATTCTGAACTAAAAATTGGTGATCCAATTCAACCCTACTCAGCCATGGACATTCATTTGATGATCTGGAGCCTCATAGGCCAATATATCTTACATAGTAGTTGTGGGAATAACACTGGATAATTCAACATCATCTGACCAACAAGGTTTAATGAACAGAAGGTGCAGATTCAAAATGGCAATTGGTTTTGTTTCAGTCATTATTGTCAGGCACAAAATTTCATTAAGGAGCCATGTTAAATATAGTTGAATAGTGACTTGGATGTGCCTTAAATTTACAAGTCTTGTCCCATCATCTGGGATATCTCCTGGGGGAAATTTTGTGCCTGACAATAATGATTTGGAATCAACTGCATGCAAAATTTCTCTTCTGCCAAATTCAGCAAGCCATGATATTTTTGAATAAACTGCAATAGGCTAGAATCATATAATATAAAACTATGCAACCCTTCATAGCTTTGTGTCTGATGTAAAGATTATTTGCTGTTACTTTCAATAACAGTGCCGTGATTAATGGAATGCAGTAATATGATCTGTGAATACTAAAATCACATTAGCCTACAAAACTAGAGCCTGCTCATGTCAAATTGGTTGAAGACCTTGGATTTTGAAATGTATCCCTTGACATCTGTATCTCTGACAAATTTGTACTGCTGCTCCTTTTCAGACTGCTGAAGCTGAAAAACATGTTCATATCTAAATTTAAAACAACACCAAAATTTTATGTCCGAGCACCAGGCCGAGTCAACTTAATAGGTAAAGTATTTTTAATGCATTATTTTGTTAACCTTTGAGCAGTAGAATCAAGTGGCAGCCAGACCTTTTCACTTTAAATAGCCTATATTTGTTTGTTAGGCAGTAAGGTGTGGCACTAACTAAGGTATCTGCAGGATTGCCACCTCCTGTGTGAATTAACCTGTTCAGTACATTCTTCCCAGGAGATGTTTTTAGGTATACTCTACCCCACTTGTATGAAGTAAGGGGAAGAAAGCCAAGAAATATTATTTTTCTGACAGCTCCAGGGCCATGGAGCAGTTTTCCCTTAGAATTAACACTTGTTACATCACTTAACGTCCCAAAAATAATATAAGGACTCTTCAACAGAGCGCTGTTGTCATCTGTACTATTATTGATATATTACTATTTTATTTTTATTACAAATTGATTAGGTTTGCTCTGATTATTTTTTGACCTTTCCGTCAGTGCTTTTGCCATGGTTATTTTAATTTTATATTGTATATTATGCATTCTATCAAGTTGCTTCAGTCTAGCGAAGGCCAGTCCTACAAACCAAGATATAACCTCTGTGTCTAAGAGTCTTCAGCATAAACCATCCCATGCAGAATTTAGTCAAATGGAAAAGGGGGTATTTGGGTGCTATGTGAGATCATTTAATTTTCTGGTTTTTTTTTTAAATAGGTGAACATATAGATTACTGTGGATATAGTGTACTCCCAATGGCCATAGATCAAGACATACTTATAGCAGCTGAACCTCTAAACAGTCCAATCCTCCATTTGGCTAACACAGATCCCTCATACTCGTGAGTACCATATATTTTTTTACTGATTATTGTTGTTGTAATATAGATGTTTCACAGCAACTAAACAATGGCACAATCTTGACCTGTAAACATGCAATTGAAAAAGTGCATCACAAAAGGGAAATTAGTGAAAATGGAGCAAAATTCAGAGCGGAATCCATTATGTGTTAAGCCATTCAATATTTGAACTATCAACAAACATCATGCACCTGGAAATAGGTACATGTGTCAGGCTCCAGCTCTCAAAACTCTTCAGCCAACATGGCTAATGGCAGCTGCAGTTTAATATAGGTAGTCTTTGACTTACAAAAGTTTGTTTGGTGACCGTTCAAAGTTAAAACAGCATTGGAAAAAAATGACATTTTTCACACGACCATTGTGACATATCCCCATGGTCACCTAATCAAAATTCAGATGCTTGGCAATTGATTCATATTTGTGACGGTTGCAGTGTCCAGGGGTCATGTGATCTCCTTTTATGACCTTCTGATAAGCAAAGTCAACTGGGAGACCAGATTCACTTAACCATGTTACTAACTTAACAACTGCAGTGATTCACTTAACAACTGTGGCAAGGAAGAAGTCGTAAAATGGGGAAAAACTCACTTAACAAAAATCTCACTTAACAACAGAAATTTTGGGCTCAATTGTAGTCTTACATCCAGGACTACCTACCTGTATACCTGAGCACTAGATAGTAGAAATCTCTGCTGGAGTAGGATGAGTTTAGTTATCTACATAAGCTGGAACCGTTTTAAAAATATTAAAATTACCTCCCGATTCCCCAAACTGCTTAAGAAATTGGAACATAATCCAAGTTTTTCAGCATAATCCAGGAGGGATCCATTTGCTTCAGATAAAAACGTAATATTATAGCATTGGTAATTTATATCAGATTTCTGAGAGGCAGTTTGGTGTAGTGGTTAAGACTAAAAATGGCAAGATGTGAGTTATGGTCCTACCTGAGGCCCCAAACCTCGTGCCAGATCTTGGACAAGTCTGTATATCACCACCTTTATGATGAAAGAAATACAAACCACTTCTAAAAACCTTTGAGTCAACAGTGTTTTGAAAGCACACATTGAGGGGGAGGAGGAAAGAGAATGAAACGCTTATGTTTTCCTTGCAAACAATTGTCTCTCGGTTTCCCCCTTGCCTTTTTACTTGTTTCTCCCAATTTCTACACTACCTCACTCAGCCAGTTTGTCAAAATGGATGTCTGAAATAAATGGGCCAACTTTAGAAGCCAGGTTTGGTTTCGGGTCTGAGGTGGTTGCAAAGGTTTCCAGTGTTCTTGCTGTCTTCTTAAATCATAACCATCTACTCCAGAGGGAACAATGATACCCATGTAATTATCCACATCTTGTTTCATGTTCGGGTTTTGAGCTTGCGAAGGAAAAAAATGCATGGAGGAAACAGGATCCGTGTTTATTTGGGGGGAAGGAACAAAGGGAAACGGCAGGCTGGAAAATTAGTTTCTACAGTAGAAAAGTAACCCTTGAAACAGTGTGTTCTACAATCAAGGGTGATACCTCCTTTATGCACTCTTGTTGGTCTTTATTCATAGACTTTTTTTAGAAAGGAAAAAGTGGGATACAGGTCATCTTCAGTTTGTTTAGTGATCGTTCAAAGTTACAATAACAGTGCACAGAAGCCAAAAAGTATTGGACTAGAATACACACGTGGCTGGAGAAAATGATAAAACAATCTATAGATTTAAAACCAGAGACGTTTTTATTGGGAATTTTGCCTGAGGGTTACAACAAAGAGTTAGCCTACTTGATTATCAATGTATTAACAGCAGCCAGGATTGTATTTGCACAAAATTGGAAAAATGAGAAAATTCCGATGGATGAGGAAATAATTAAGAAAACAATAGAATGTGCAGAAATGAGTAGATTGACAATGGCAATTAGAGAACAAGAGGACCTTGAACTACAAAAGGCATGTTATTTTGTCTAACCACATTTACCCCAAGAACTTTCACCCTCCCACTTTGCCAGGCTCAAAATGTGGCAGGGTGGGAGCATCTGGTTTCAATATGGCTTCCAACTCTGACAAACAGAGCTGAAAAAAGTGACTTAGAACCATTTTTCACATTTAATGACCATTGGAGAATCTCTATGGTCACGTGATCAAAATTGAGAAGCTTGGCAACTGGCATGGATTTATGACGGTTGCAATGTCCCAGGGTCACATGATCCCCTTTTGCGACAAGCAAAGTCAATGGGGAAGCTGGATTCACTTAACAACTGCAGCGGTTCACTTAACAACTGTGGCAAGCAAGGTCGTAAAACACGGCAAAATTCTGTCTTGCTTAGCAACACAAACTTTGAATGCAAATTGTGGTCATAAGTCAAAGACTACCTGTAATACTTTGCTGATACCTGGAATTCATACATTGTCCTAAGTTGCGGGTTATTTGAATTTAGCACATCCGAGCACATGAACCATGGCTGACAAATCATTACGGCTTTTTTCCTGCCACATTTTAAGCCAAAGCCAAACAAACATTCCTGGCTTAGTATGAATGTGTGGATCTTCTGTGTGCTGACTGGCCTGTGGGTCTTCTAGCAGCTGTATGGTATGGTATCTTCAAATCTCATCATCCCTACAGTAGAAAGCATCCCAGGAATATTAAAATGAAAAGTAACAGATAATCAGAGTTGGAAGGGACCTTGTAGGTCATCTAGTCCAGCCCCCCTGCCCAAGCAGAAGAACCTACACCATTTCTGAAAGATGGCAGTCCAATCTCTTCTTGAAAATCTCAAGGGACGGTGCTTCCACAACTTCCGAGGGCAACTTCTGTTCCATTGGCTGATTGTTCTGTCAGAAAATTTCTCCTTATTTCTAGGTTGAATCTTTCCTTGATCAGTTTCCATCCATTATTCCTTGTCTGGCTTTCAGGTCCTTTGGAAAACAACTTGACCCCTTCCTCTCTGTAGTAGCCCCTCAAATATGGGAACATTACTATCATGTCTCCCCTGCTCCTTCTCTTCACTGGATTAGCCATACCCCTGTAACCGTTCATTGTATATTTTAGCCTCCAGTCCCCTAATCATCCCGGTTGCTCTTCTCTGCACTTTTTCTAGAGTCTCAACATCTTTTTTATAATGTGGTGACCAAAACTGGATGAAGTACTCTAGGTGTGGTCTTACTAAGGCTTTATAGAGTGGTATTAGTACCTCACTTGATCTTGATTGTATCCCTCTGTTAATGCAATTTAGGATTGCATTAGCTTTTTTGGCGGCGGCTGCACACTGCTGGCTCATATTTAGCTGGTTGTCCACTAAGACTCCAAGATCCCTCTCCCAGTTAGTGCTATTGAGCCTGGTTTCCCCCAGTCTATATGTGTACTTTTGGTTTTTCTTGCCTAAGTGTAGGACTTTACTTTTCTCTACATTGAATTTCATTTTTTTAGATACGGCCCAGTGTTCTAGTCTGTCAAGAAAGCTGTGTTGGCTTTTCTTCTGGTAATAGGAATAAGGGAAAGAACCAGAATGGAGAACATGGGTTGGTAGATCTGACATTGGTTTCCAAACTTTCCTGGTTAATGTCTCATATGGGGAAGAAAGAGATTGCCCAATGCTTGTTCCAAATTAAAACCCAAGTATTTAGATGGGAGTGTTCAATTGGGATATTCATCCCATTTACATTCCTGTTGCAATAGTTAATTCACATTAATTGAGTTGAACTCTAGATGGAAATACACCCTTCCTTGACCCATAGCTTGTCGTCTTCTTTGAGAGCTTCATTGGCCTGGAAAGCACTGGAGAAATCAACTAAAGGAGTTAGGCCAGTAGATTGTGAGAGAGATGTCAGAAGACATCTGATTAGAAAGCCACACCAACGAAAAAGAATTCCACGGCCATCCATCAGCCAAAACCTGTCTTAAATATGAAGTCAGTTTATAATTTTTTAATGCAGTGTTTACAATTTTTACCGGCCGATCTTGGAAGATTGTCCTTTATACATAAAGTTCTACAACAAGAAAGATAATAAACTTTCTTGGAGTTTAATTATTTTTTTAAACTAGATTACATTGTAGGGCACCATCCGCTGCACTGATTTTACCCACTGTGCTGTTTTGAGAATTGAACAGGGGAATCGGTTCCAGGGGTCTCACGGGGTAAAAATAGACTTCTGGTGCCAGTACAAAGCTTTTTTTTATTTTATTTTATTGGTTTTTAAAAACAAACATAAACAAACAAAACATAAAAACATCAAGCTATCTTCCATAGATGTACATACAGTGTGCCAGTTGGTTTACAAATTGTTTTGTGCTTCCATTTCGTAGTCTTCAATTACAGTTACATTGCATATAATCTCGTATTGTCAATCAAAAATTAAATACCTTAGTATCATTATTAATCAATCATTTGACTGTACTTTTATTCATTCATTCATGTTTTACAAGATAACCATAATTTACTTAGTTTATTTTATAACAGTTCATATTATCATCCCAAATCTATCCTAAAATCATTTTGTAGATATAATAAGAAAGAAGTACATCTTTATAGATTTATTATTTTCTAAAAGTCTACATATTTCATTACTGTACTTTATTGTCTAACCATTGATAGAAAAGATCCCAAATTTTATAAAATTGTTTATCCTCTTGTTCTCTAATTTCAAATGTCAATCTACTCATTTCAGCACATTCCAATATTTTCTTAATGATTTCCTCCTGTGATGGTATTTTCTCATTTTTCCAGTTTTTAGCAAATACAATCCTAGCCGCTGTTAATACATTTACAATCAGGTATTTCAAGTCTTTACTATATATTTCAGGTAAAATTCCCAATAAAAATATCTCTGGTTTCAAATATATATACTTTTTTGTCATTTTTTCCAACTACATGTAGATTTTAGTCCAGTATTTTTTAGCATCCGCCACAAGTCCACCACATATGGTAATATGAGCCAGGTGTCTGATGACATTTCCAACATTTTTCGCCAGTACAAAGCTTAAGGCACCTAATTTATGCCTTAAATCCAAACTGAAAAACAAAAAGATCGAACATTTTTGGACTTACTGTTCTAGGAAGAAGATACCCCGGTCTGCCCTCATTCAAATTTCTATCAAGAAATTTCTCAATGTTTAATTAGGAATATACAAGTAGTCCTTCATTTTGTGACCATTAGAAGTTATAACAGCACTAAAAAAACGACTTATGACTTTTTTTTTTTTTAACAATCCCTTGGTCACGTGATCAAAATTCTGATGCTTGGCAACTGCCTCAAATTTACGACAATTGCGGTGTTCCAGGGTCACATGATTCTCCTTTGTGACCTTCTGACAAGTACAGTCAATAGAAGCCAAGGTTCACTTAACGACTGTGTTACTAACTGAACAACTGCAGGGATTCACTTAACAGCTGTGGTAAGAAAGGCCGTAAATTAGGACAAGGCTCACTTAGCAAGTATCTCACTTAGTAACAGAAATTTGAGGCTCAACTGTGATCATGAGTTGAGGCTTACCTGTAATTGGCAGAGAGAGAAAAAGAAACTGATTTCTTTTACCGGCAGGTGGCAGTAGATATGTTTGAGTGGCTTATATGCGTACCGAGAATGTAGTAAACCTATTCTGAAACAATTTCGCTTTTTTCTGTTTATTTCCTAGGGATTTCAATACAGATGCCAATGACATCCAAATAAAGCAAACAAAACCTTTATGGCACAACTATTTCCTCTGTGGGTTCAAAGGAATACAGGTGAAGTAACTTCAATTTACATCCTCTTCCTTTGAAATTTTCAGCAAAATGAAAAGCAAAACACAAATGTTCCAATAACACGCAGTCGGTTAGAAAGTTAAACACTCTTTAATGTAAAAGCTCTACAAGATTTGAAAAGCAGAGGAGGACTAGCCCTCCCAAATTGGGAAATATACCATATGGCAGCTACCTTACTATGGCTAAAAGAATGGGTGAATCTAACCAATAAAAGAACTCTACTACTAGAAGGCCACGACATGCAGAGAGGGTGGCATGCCTTTTTGTGGGATGTTGGGAAAATCAAACAATCATATTTTCATAGGCATCTTATCAGGGACTCTCTATTAATTAACTGGAAAAAAGTACGCAAAAAATGCTATCTAAAAATTCCGATCTGGCTATCTCCAATGGAGGCAATAGTACATCCTAATAACTTGGACATCAAAAAAATGATTAAATATAAAGATTTATTAGACCCACAAGGAAAACTGAAAACACGACAAGAATTACAAGAGCAAGGATTTACAATTGATCAGTGGGTATACCTTCAAATTCATAGCAGATATAAACAAGACATTAAAGATTTTGGAATCTATAACCAATTGCAGATTTTAGATAAAATTTTATTAGGACCACACCAAAAAAATATATCCAAATTTTACAAATATTTATTGGAAATAGAATTAGAACAAGAGATAGTCAAAGGAAATATGATAGCTTGGAGTAGAAATGTGGGACGGAGCATTACTCTATCAGAATGGGAAAGGATTTGGAATAGGAACAACAAGATCACAAAATCAGCAGCATACAAAGAAAATTAATTCAAAATGTTCTACAGATGGCACCTGCCCCCTTCGAGGTTGGCGAAAATGCACCCCAACATGAGTCCAAAATGCTGGAAATGCAAAAACATAGACGGTACCTTCTTCCACATGTGGTGGTCTTGCAAAGAAACCCAGAAATACTGGCAAAAAATTAGGTATTGGCTGGAGGAGATAACTAAGGAACAAATTGAATACAAACCAGAGTCTTTCCTTTTAGGGATTTTTGATAAACAATTATCAAAGAAAACGAAGTATATGATAATCCACATCCTAACAGCGGCCAGACTGGCGTTCGCTCAGTGCTGGAAATCACCTTCCATCTCCACTGAACAGATGATTATCCAGAAAGTCTTAGAATGCGCTGAAATGGATAGATTAACTCTAACACTAAAAAATAAAGAATCCTCAATCTACTATAGCAACTGGAATCCTTGGTACAATTGGCTAAATCAGAGATAGATCACTGTCAAGAGAACTTTAGCCAAGGGCAACCCAAGTAGAGATATCGATAAGTTCTGCATACGGCTTATTTGAAGAAGAAAAGATCTTACAGACTGTTACAAAAGAAATGGTTCCATTTTAATCGTTTTTTCCTTTTCCATCTCTCCCCTTTCCCATATTCCCCCCTTTTCCCCCATTTCTTTCTTTTCTTTCTTTCTGGCCTCTGTCAAGGCCTGTTCTTTCTTTCTGTGTATATTTGTAGATGTGCTGTTTTTTAATGGTAAAATCAATAAAGTTTTTTTTCTTTTTAAAAGAAAGTTAAACGCATGATGCTTTTTTAAAAAAGAAACATACAGAGAGCACAAACTACATGTACCAAGTTTCTATATTAATTATATGTTTATTAGCAGGAACTATTTGATAGATAACGTGTAATGTTTAGTATTATAAATCGTAGCCCTTTCTTTTTTGTGATCTAGACTTTTAAATGCTGGCAAGTCGCCTCTTGGAAATTTCAGTGCTACTTTTCACAATTCCTCTATACGAAATTATTTTTAAAACCTAAAGCATCATCCCGTGGCACAATCTGTTTATATTAAACTGAGCACATTATCCACTGGAAAGAAACATCCTGCCCAGCTCCATAAACAAAAGAAAAGAAAAGAAAAAACCCTCAGTTTTGAGTCAGGGACTTTGTTTTCCCTCCATTATGCATATTCCGTAATAAATGTGAAAGTTTGATCCATCTTCAAAGGAATATCTGCTAATCCTTTTCTGGTTAAGAATCTGATGGATTTCTCCCTGTTGGGAAATTGTCAGAGGTGGCCTCAGCAGCAAGTAGTTTGTGTGCCTAAAAGGAGAATATTTTTTTGTGTGCGTGGGCAATTCGGTGCGCAGAACGTGTTTAACTTGAACTGTCTTCTGTGGGTGTTGCAGGAATCTTGCTGTTGCTGTCTAATACTGGAAGTATGTCAAGAGGGTTGAAGGGAACTCAGCCTTTCTAAAACAGATCAGGCTTTCTGCAGATTGCCAATTTTTCTTAGTAAAATAAGCATATGCAAGCATAAGAATTTGTGGTACTGGATTCAATCAGGATTGCCAAACGGATCTAGGAACAAACCAGTTTTGTCAGCACTGAACATAAAGCTTTGGAATTCGGAGGTTCAGTTGAGCAGAGTTAAAGACAATGAACAGATTGGGCCTCCAAGGTTTTCCCACAGTGTTTGAAACCTTAATAACTTTTAAGATTTGTGGATTTCAGCTCCCAGAATTCCCCCACCAGCCGATACTGAATACATTCTGTGTCCTCCAGAGCAGGGGTCTCCAACTTTGGCCACTTTAAGCCTGGAGGACTTCAACTCCCCAAACCCCTGATCTACAGAATGCCAAGTCAGGGAAGCCATCTTTAAAATGAACTTAACAGAAAAGCGATTGATTGTCCTCGCATATAATTTAAAGCAGAGGAGGACAGCTTAAGATCCAACTGTTGGCATGCCATCTTGGAAGCTTTCTCTACGGAAATTTGTTGGATGTTGCCATCATGGTTTTGTTGCCTTGTTTCCACCTGGAAACAAATGTAAAACCTGCAACATGTTTTCTAAAAGTAAGAAATCCCTCCAAACTTCAATAAAATTTCACAAAAATCTTAGCCTTCTCTCATACTCTGAGCAAATGCAGCTCTGAACCACTCAACGATACTCTTCAAATAGTAAGCCACCAAACAGAAAGAGATATGAATGAAGATATTGCTCTTCTATATTGCTCTTCTATGACTCAAAGCAGCTCAACTTTAAAAAAAAACATAAAAAGGAAGATCTTAAGTTCATGCATGTGTCTTGTTTAGTTCATCAGGGACAGAATCATGTAAAAAGCAAAATGGGGAACAATGATTATGGAGAATTAATACGAATGAAATATATACGATTTTTGCTTAACCTGTAATATGCTATCAAGTTTAGCTCTGTGGTTTATCTTGGTCTTTTGTGATAAAAATGCATGCCAACAGCTATATCTGTTTTCTAATTGCATTATTAATTATTCTCTCTAGGTTCAGATCTGCAGTTGATTTTATTGTTCAGCCCCCAGAAAGCACCCCACAATTACAATGTTCTCAGAAAGCTATGTTCAGGAAATCCATAGACCCTGATGATTGTGTCTAGGCATCCAGCCACTAGCTTCAGCTGCAGGTTTTGTGCTGCATTTCTTTGGATGCCGAACATAACACATTTTTCTACTTAATTTGACATTTCGTATTTAAATGACTTAAGTCACACTGGGAACAAAAAATCAGGTAGATTAATGCAGAAACGGGAAAGTTGCATGTGATTTTTCAGGAAATCACATGAGAAAATTTCCTTGAAATTTCTTTTAAAATAAATCCACATCCAGGCCAAAACAGCTATTGGTTCCATTCCATCTGCAATGCTAATAAAAATAAAGATCCGATATACTTAGGGATCAGAAATTCACATCAATTCCCCACAGAGCAAGTGATTGTGGTTTCCAAACATTTGAGGTCAGGAATGTAACAGGCTTTTTTATCTTCCAAGCTTGCTTTCAGCTCGTAGGGAGAAAAACAATGAAGCCAGAAATAGGGAAGCAGTTGATAAGAAGCAGAGTGGTAAGAAGGAGAGCAATGGCCAACATGCTTCCTGGCCAAATTAAAACAGAAACAAAAGGTCACGTTCTACTACTGACAAGACAGCATGGACAGCAATTACTGTCTTCTGGATGGCCACTAAAATAACTTAAGACATTTGAAGAGCAGATATCTAATCTATGTTAAATTGGCTGGCTGAGTTTAACTCAGCCAATAGCTCAGTTTTTCTGTTTTTCTAAATACCTGAGGAACTGTTTCTGAATTTATAGCATCCTAATGCAACTGATTATACAACATCTAACCATTTCTACTTCTCCTTTGGAAAAAAAAGAAGAAATCCATAACCAGCAGAACAACAAAGCCCTCCTTAAGACCACTTGATGTATTCAGAAATGTCAGAGAAATAATCAGATTGAAATCATACTTCCGACCTTTTTTTTAACAGTGTATGCCAAAACTGCATTTGGGCATTGAGAATAAACTTATGCAAAGTTTGTTTGGTGATGAAACACATTAGCATCCACGTGTTTTACGTGCATTCTGTTTGATCATCTTAAAACCAGGTTAAGGGGGGAGAGTGTATGTATGAAACGGGCTTCTTCATTCTAATTCATTGCACAAGGTATATGTTTTTATTGTAGAAGTCTTATTTCTCCAGAGTCTATAGTTGACTTCCTTCGCAGCAATTAAGCCCAAGGAAAATAATTCATTAAACCTTTTTCAAGAAATGGGGTGAGAGAGAAGGCAAAGTAACCAAGAAAGATGTGGGACAAAATCAGTGGTGGGATTCAAATTTTTTTACTACTGGTTCTGTGGGCGTGGCTTGGTGGGCGTGGTGTGGTTTGGTGGGCATGGCAAGGGAAGGTTACTGCAAAATCCCCCTTCCCTCCTCACCCCACTAACCTGCTTTCCAGCTCCATTCTCCAGTGCAGGGCAACCAAAGAAGACCCAGCCAATCAGCTGGGACTCAATGGGAGGTGGAGAATAGATGGGGGCGTGGCCAGTCAGAGGTGGTATTTGCCGGTTCTCGGAACTACTCAAAATTTCCACTACCGGTTCTCCAGAACTGGCCAGAACCTGCTGAATACCCACCTCTGGACAAAATATATTAATTACCTTGCAACTTTAAAGTGAGCTTAGGAACATGGTGCAAAAGAATTTTAAAGCATCCTAAGAATGAGGCAGGAATAATATCGTTTGTGAGGAAGAAATTTCTCAGGAAACTGGAACAGATTTCAGCTGTACAAATTACCTAATGAGGCAACACTTGTTTGTTTTAAGGAATCTCGCTCAATTGTACTCTGGGCCTGCCTAGTTCTCTAAAAGCAGGTCTAAAAATATGGGAGGGGGGGGGAGAATTAATTATGGAAAGTTTATAAGTGTTCCCAAGGAAGTATGATGTTCAATTGAAAAGAAATGTTAAAGACGTTAAGATTGTAATTGATATTAATGATAGAATTGAATTGGAATGGAATGATTGTTTTATTTACTATTGTTATGTATGTATGTATGTATGTATGTATGTATGTGTATATATATAAACATAGCGTGTATTTTAAGAATGTACCAAGCAGAATGGAAGTTATGTACTATATTAGTTATGTACTATATTGAATGTTATAATTCTTAAGGCATAAATTTAAGTTTAAATAAGAGTTGAATGGATAAAATTAAAAGATATAAAGGTGTCATACTCCAATTAGTAACTACAGGGGAAAATTTGTTTAATGAGAAAAGACAATATGAAATTGAAGCAGGACAGACAAAAGTATAAATATAATGATTAGAAAGACATTGAAACTTAGAAAAAGATATATAATTGAATTTAGATATGAGATAATTAAAAATAAAGTTGAGAAAACCAAGGGAGGGAAAAAATTATGGAGAAAATGTTAAAATAGTAACAAGACATGGAATAGAACACAAAGATGAATATGAAATATGAGTTTGTGTCTGTATGGAGAAGTGATAACTCGGGATCATGCTATTCTCAAAAAAAGATGTTTTATTTGTATTTTGTGAAAACCCAAATAAAATTTATATTAAAAAAAATAAAAACAGGTCCAGGCTGCTAGGTATGTCCTGCCCAGGAAGCCATGAAAACTATGTGTCTGTCTGTGTGTATGTGCGTACATGCATAAACATACAGGTAATCCTCGACTTACGACCATAACTGAGCCCAAAATTTAACCTTGGGGAGCAAGACAGTTGTTAAGTGAGTTTTGCCCCATTTTACGACCTTTCTTGCCACAGTTGCTAAGTGAATCACGGCAGTTCAGTTAGTAATACGGTTGCTAAGTGAATCTGGCTTCCCCATTGACTTCGCTATTCAGAAGGTCACAAAAGGTGACCACGTGACCCTGAGACTTGGCGACCATTGTAAATGTGAGTTCGTTGCCGAGCGTGCAAATCTTAATCACAGGGATGCGGCAACGATCATAAGTGTGAAAAACGGTCATGTCACTTTTTTCAATGCTGTTGAAATGATCACTAAATGAACTGTGGTCAGCCGAGGGCGTCCTGGAGGACGAAAACCAGCTTTCCTTGTCCCACGAAGAAGACAGCAAGCGGTTCAATTCTTCCGAACTAAAACCCCAAATCAGTTTATCTTGTATTTTACAGGATCGCTTCAATCTGAGGAAGCCGAGCGGAATTAACTGCCTCGTGGAAGGCACGATTCCTCCAAGTTCCGGTTTATCGAGCTCCAGTGCTTTGGTTTGTTGTGCGGCACTCGTGACTCTCGTGGCCAACGGCAAGACTCTTTCCAAGGTAAGGTGGAAAGGAGGACCATGCTCTCCAGCGCAGTGGTTGCCAACCACTGGTGGTCCGCAAGAAAATGTTGGTGGTCCGCAGAGAAATGTCACCCGCAAAGCAATTAATCCAGGCTGTATGGGAACACAAGGCTGCACCACCCACATGGCCCGTGGGAACACAAGGCTTGTATCGCTTACATTGCGAACAACACAAAGTAGTGAGGGAAGGGGGTAAAGGGCAGGGGGGGGGAACTTGCCCCATTCGCCCCACGCGCCTGGCCTGGCCACTGGGCTGCTTCTTTTCTTTCTTCTTCTGCTTTTGGCTGCACGCAAAAGTCTTTCTTTCTCTCCCCCAAACTCCGCCAGAAATGAGTCTTTGGGACCCTGCAAGGCCTCCTGCTCCAAGAGGCTGCACCGGCGCGACAAGTCTCACAAAGACTCATTTCTGGCAGAGTTTGGGGGAGAAAAAGAAAGACTGCTGCTGCTTCTGCTGCTTTCCTTGCATGAAGCCAAAAGTCTCTCTCCCCCCCTGAGAACAGAGCTGGAGACAATATCCTGCAATCCCAAATAAAGAATTGATCGATCGGTAGGAAAACGGGGTGGGAAATTTTCCTCCAGACTTTTTGGGGGATTTTCCCAGGCTCTCTGGTCTGCGGAATTTAAAATTATGAGTTTGGTGGTCCCTGAGGTCCAAAAGGTTGGCGACCCCTGCTCCAGCGGATCGTTAAAATTGAAGCTGAGGAATTTATATAGTTTTTTAAACAGAAATTCTCGAAACTACGAATTGTTTCCACAGTTAGTAGTTGGGGAGTTTACCTTTGAAGTAGTAGACTGATGGAAATTTTGAGAGTGCGTTGGGGCCGTTTAAAATAGACGGCTACAATAATTATTCGTACCCTTTCAAGAGTTCTTCTGAAACGTAATGGTAAATAAAAAGGCAGTAAATATTTAACAGCAAATCTAGTCATGTTTTGGATTCTTTCCACCAGGGTAACGAATAGCCCTTAGATGGGTGGAGGGTGGAAGTGACAGAAGAATCTAGCTGGAGCAGGTTGTAGGGTTGATGGCCTCTTGTCGTCTTCAATCTTCCAGTTGACTAGAAAAATATTACCAACATGAGTCTCTCCCGTGTCCCAAAGGTACTGTTCAAAAGGCAACTGGGCTTTCTTGGGTCTTTTTTTGAAGAGTGTTTGTTCCAAATTGCAGGGCTAAATCTCTGTGGAGTGTCTCAATCATCCAGATCGTGGTTGTTAAAAAAAAATCAAGAAAGTTCAGTTGCCTTTTGAACAGCCTCTTTGGGATACCCATGACCTGGATGATCGAGGATCTCCGTAGGCGATACCTTCTCGTGCTTCCTCTCCCAGATGTTCTTTGGTTCACCGGCTTAGCTTGATCTGTTTTTTTTTTCTAAGCAAGAGGAGATTCTGTCACATAATGTCCTGGCCTATCTCCACTTGATATTAAGGCTTATGTCGTAAGAAGTCCTTAGGCAACCGTTATCTTTCCCAGAAATGCTGCACCAATGCGTGCCTGCACCATGAGAGGTAATGTGGCAGTGAGTGAGGAAGGAAACATCTCGGTGCTAACGTGGCATTACTGAATGCCAGTCCCAGAGAGATCCTCCTGGCATATAACAGATAACAGATAATCAGAGTTGGAAGGGACCTTGTAGGTCATCTAGTCCAACACCCCCACCCAAGCAGGAGACCCTACACCATTTCTGACAAATCGCAGTCCAATCTCTTCTTGAAAGCCTCCAGTGATGAAGCTCCTACAACTTCCGAGGGCAACTTCTGTTCCATTGGTTGATTGTTCTCATTGTCAGAAAGTTTCTCCTTATCTACACTATGACATTTCAGACAGCATTGATGAGGTTTTGTGAATTTTCAGGAGAGGTTATTCAATTGTTTTGCTGGACGAAAAGGTACTTTATGTGAACATTGTTACAACTGCTCATGTTCATTTTTTTTAAAAAAATCAATGCCTACGTTGAGAGGTCTACTGCTGAATTTGCCGAAGAAGCGGCCTATTTAAAATTCCGTGATAAAGGTTGGGAAGCCTGTAACGAATGATCTAAAGAAAGAATTCAAACTGAGGCTGCAGATTAATGCCATCTTTAAAAAATTAGCTGAGTTGGTCTACCAAGAGAAATTCAAACTTTTAGACCATCACAGAATAATATTCTGACACACTATAATTGGAGGAAGCTTGCTAAATTATTTCCATGTCTTTGTTTTGGAAAATATTTCATTTCTGTTTGTAGTAAAGATGCAACATTCAAGCGCAGTCCTTATTCCCTAAGTGGCATCTTATGTGTTATTTCATAACCGATAAAAGTATTTCTAATGTTGTAATCTGTTTCCTTCCCGAAGACACAGAGATTGACTTGCAATTTCCCAACAGCTGTTCAGTTCAGATAGTTCAATACTCATTGAGGTTCCTGGATCTTGTGTCAATGTACTGTTCTAATTGTAAAATCATTTTAACCCATGTTTGGAGTGTACGTTGGCTCTCCCTTGATTAGGTTAAAAAAATGATTTTCAAATGTTTTCTGATGCATTGAATGTTAAAGAGAAAAATGGCATTCAAAAAGAACACCGTTGCAGTTTTAAAAGTCTGTGGAGATTCTCAGTCATCCAGGACAAGTTTGTCCCAAAGGGTTTGGGTTAGGGTAATATTCCTTGCAATCACCCTTCCCTTCCCTACCAGTCAGTCAGAGCTGAAGAAGCTTCTTGGATAAAAAGCGAAACGTCTTCAAAGAAAAAACAAATTCCAATTGCCTCTTGAAAAAGCACCTTTGGTGCAGTGTTAAAACTTGAAATGTGGATGCTGTTTGAAGCAACATATTTTGCATGTTCTTGAACAACTTAGAGGATAGTTTGTTCTGATCGATGTAGAAACTAAACAGTAAATTGTCTTCATTTCCTTAGAATAACTTTTTTAAAAAAAATGTGAGGAAGTTCATGAAAAATATGGCAATGCAGTTAATCACTTGCAGCCCGAAGGTGATTTTTAAACTTAGCATTAGAATGCCAAAGAGAAGAAACTGGGTTCAGTTTTGTTTTGCCTTAATACTCACTGGGTAGTGTCAATAAATGAATCATAGAAGTTGATCTGACCAAGATGAAGATCTAATATTGTGTACATTTGGTTTTTGTCTGTCTTCCTTTCTCTCTTCCACTCACCTTTATAGAATAGCTGGAGCGGGAGGTGGATTTTCAGTAAAAGCATGACCTGAACTTGTTCACACAGAGCCCTTTTTCTTGCCAGGAGCCACACTTTCTTTTCAATAGTATTTATTTATTTATTTATTTATTTGATTTATTTAATTTGTCAATCACTTACAAGATAATAGGTATAAGGATAAACATAATTATGAATACATGAAATGGGTACATATAAGAAAAATAAAAAGAAACAATAGGACAGGGACGGCAGGCACGTTGGTGCGCTTATGCACGCCCCCTACAGACCTCTTAGGAAAGGGGTGAGGTCAATAGTAGACAATCTAAGGTTAAAGTTTTTGGGGTTTGGGGAAGAAACCACAGAGTCAGGTAGAGTATTCCAGACATTGACCACTCTGTTGCTGAAGTCGTATTTCCTGCAATCAAGTTTGGTGCGGTTAACCTTGAGTTTGTATCTATTGTGTGCTCTTGTATTGTTATGATTGAAGCTGAAGTATTCATTGACAGGTAGGACATTGCAATGTATGATTTTATATACTATACTTAGATCCTGGAGATTACCCTGGCCTAAAACATTATCATTTTATGCCTTTGAGTCAGTGTTGACTCTTGGCAAATACCCGGGCTGACCTGCAGTTTTCTTGGCAAGGTTTTTCAGAAGTCACTGCCTGCTTCCAAGCGCTGAGAGTGACTGGCCCAAGGTCACCCAGTTTACTTTGTGCCTAAAGCAGGACAAAAACTCACAGTCTTCTAGTTCCTAACCTGGGTGCCTTGAGCACTACATTAAACTGGCTCTCGGCCAAATTAACAGATGGAAGATATTTAACTAGAACAGAAGGACTTTTTGAGATGGGTCATGAATATTCTTATGAAGTAGGGAAAGCTGCTTTGGATATGGAAAAACAGCTCACTGGATTGGCAAAGAAATCCTGAGAAAAACTATATGGGCTGTAGCTGAACTCATGAGAAATGAACAATACGTGTTTTAAGGACAAGGAGCACTAGAGCCCAGGGTTGGGGAAAGAGAAAATTTCACAACTCTTTTAGCAACATTCTTGCCTTTATTATTATTTTAAATTAAATGTAATAGAAATAAACAGGAAGGTTTTATTTCTATTATATTTAAAATAATAAGAAAGTAAATATGTTGCCGAAAGAGTCGTGAAATTCTCTCCTTATCCAACCTTGGGCTTTAGTGCAGGATTGCATTACAGCATATCAAACTGAAATGCTAACATGAACACTGCCTGCATTTCGCTGAATGCTTCTGTCGACCTACCCAATATTGTCCCTAAAGAAAAATAGTAGGTAGCAACAATAACAGTAGCACTTAGACTTATACACTGCTTCACAGTACTTTACAGCCCTCTCTAAGTGGTTTACAGAGTCAGCATATTTCCCCCAACAATCTGGGTTCTCATTTTACTAACCTCAGAAGGATGGAAGGCTGAGTCAACCTTGAACCTGGAGAGATTCGAACTGCCAAATTGCAGGCAGCTGGCAATCAGCAGAAGCAGCCTGCAGTACTGCATGCTGACCACTGAACCATCGCAGCCCTTCCTTCCTTCCTTCCTTCCTTCCTTCCTTCCTACTTAGCAATAGCACTTAGACTTATATACTGCTTTACAACTCTAAGTGGTTTACAGAGTCAGCCTCTTGCCCCCAACAATCTGGGTCCTTATTTTACCAACCTCAGAAAAATGGAAGGCTGAGTCAACCTTGAGCCTGGTGAGTATCGAACTGCCAAATTGCAGACAGCTGGCAGTCAGCAGAGGTAGCCTGCAATATTGCACTCTAACCACTGCGCCACCACGGCTCTCTATTTAATCCA